TTTGTAAATATAAATAGAAAACTGAAAACGTAAGTGTTATCAAACGACAGGTGTTTAGTGTTTATTTTTTTAGTTTTTTTTTTTTTGTTGTTGATTTATTTTCTTTTATAGTGAATTTTTTTTTAAAAAAAAAATCTAAATTTTACTCGGCCAACCAAAAAATTAAAAAATTTGAAAATTTTTTCTAGAAAAGACAACAATAATTTAAAAATAGTAGGATTTTTTTTTTGTGCTTATTTTGACTCATTTAATTGTTTTCTGAAATTTTTCAAAAAAAAAAAAAAATTTACTGGAAGGTTTTTCGAGTTTTTTTTTTAAATATTCCAAAAAAAAAAAAAACTAATTAGAGAATTGACCCACTTTTCAAATTATATAAGAAACTAACCTACTTTTTAAAATCGCATTTTGAAAATGCGATTTTGAAATTGAAATTGCATCTTGAACATGCAATTTTACCTTAAAATCGCAAGTTAAAAATGATGACATGGTAAAATTGTATGTTGAAAATGCGATTTCAAAAGCAGATTAGTTTTTCAAATAGTTTAAAAAGCGGATTAATTCTCTAAATAGTTTTTTTTTTGGAATATTAAAAGAAAAAACTCAGGTTTTCCTGCTGTACGGGTTGTAGACCTACTGCCCATGTAAGTGGTAGCTTATGAGTAGGAATGGCAACGGGGCGGGGTCGGGGATCACACTCCCCGTCCCCGATCCCCGATTGTGAAAATCTCCCCGGCTTCGATCCCCGACGGGGACCCTATCACCATCCCCATCCCCGCCCTCCAAAGGGGATCGGGTTTCCCCGACCTCGAAAATTCCCCCCCCAAACCTGTTTCAACAGTAACACAATCAACAACAACAACAACATCATCATCATCCCCAATCAACAATATCCCCAATCATCAACAGATCATAAAAAAAAAAAAAAAAGGTAGATACACAGACGTATAAATACAAACAGATCTGAGATCTGTGTCACATAGAGAGAGAGAGAGAGAGAGAGAGAGAGAGAGAGAGAGAGTGGACGATCGGCAGCGATGAACGACGTAGGAGATCAGAGGAGGCGATGATGGTGGACGAAGGAGGAGGACAATCGGAGGAGGCGATGATCGAAGATTCGGAGGCGATGGTGGCTGTGAGTGCGACGATGGAGAAGGCCGATCGGATGAGGAGGAGGAGGCGGCGGTGGCCTGAAGGAGGAGGAGGAGGAGGAGGAGGAGGCGGCAATGGCGCATGTGACTAAAGGCGAAGCAGCCGACTGCGTGCGGAGAGAAGAAAGAGAGAGTGAAATGAGGGTGAGGGTGAGAGTGATGAGAGAAATAGACTGTACAGAGGGGGGGTTTATATATAAATGGACAGGGGCATTATGATAATTTTACTTCGAGAAAAAACGGGACTGGGGACGGGGTCGGGGACGGGCCGGGTCCGGAGCTGTGAAAGTGATCCCCGTCCCCGGCCTCGGCCCGGAACTGATCGGAGATTTAATTTTAAATACCATCCCCAGCCCATTAGGGGTATTTTTCGAAAAAAAAACCGCTCCTATCGAGGACGGGGGGTCGGGTCCCCGTCGGGCCGGTTTCAAATTGCTATCCCTACTTATGAGGGGGCCATCTGTTGAAAACTTGTATCATTTTCCATCTAAACTTAAATCGATTAAAAACTAAAAAATTATATATATAATTAACAAAAAAGATTAAAAACACAAGTAGAAGGAAGTAAAAAAATACTGTCTATTATTTTTTAGACATTTACACACAAGTCATAATTTATAAATTTATATTCCATCACTTAACTAAAATTTTTTAGACCTTCAATTCCCATTAAAATTTTAATAATCGGATTTGCCCTTCAAATAATAATTGTTCATCATTTATAATTATATATTAAGGAATATGATGATTTGACATTTATTTTGATTTTTTAAAATTTTAAAATATCAACTTTCAAATTGAAAATATTTATAAAAAAAAAATTATCTGCAAAAAAAAAAGCTAATTTTTTTTTTAATTTTAAAAATTGAATTATTTTTTTGTGTCAAACTAAAAATTGTGTTTACAAAGGAACATGATAGAATATTGATATGCAAAACTGAAAAATAAAAAATAAAAAACTATAAGAATAAAAAAAATTGATAATGTTCTCAGTTTTAAAACTAGAAAACACTAACAATGTTCTTGATTTTATTGAATAGTTGAATCAAATCAATAAATAGAAACACAAAAACGTTTAATCTCATGCTCTGTTTTTTTTATCAGTTAATAAAATAATTATCTAAAATATTACTATACAAAATTAATAATGTTTTTAGTTTTTAAAATTGAGAAACTATACAAAATTGATAATGTTCTTAGTTTTAAAAATTATTTTCTGTTTTACTAAATATGACTTATTTGTTCACAAAATTTTAAGTAGAACTTGAATTAGGATAATATTTGTAAATAGAACTTAACTATTTAACTCATTATTTTTTTGTTATTATTTTGTATCACTACTTACATGTAATTTTATAATTAACTTAATATTTGAAAAATTATTATTATAGAAAGAAGAAAGATGATGTGCCCTTTCCTAACTTGGGATCATGGGATGGAGGTCGTATTATATTTTAATATAAAAAAATTGCTAAATTTTTTAACTATATATAATCACTAAATTTATCTCTAATGATGTGTTAAAAATTGAGTTTTATATAATAATTAATTTTTTAACCAATCAATTATTGAAATGAAGTAATGGGTAAATTTAAAAGTTGTTTTAAAAATTTTAATAAACTTTTTCCGACTCAAATAAAAAATCAAGTCCTGACATATAGACAGAAGTGTAATAAAATTTTCTTGATAAGTTGAAAAAATAATTACTTTTTATAAATTTATGTATATATATTTTTAATTTTTATTTGGACTAAAAAATTTTGCTAAAAGATAGTAATTTTATTTGGAAACGAGCCGGATTCATTTTTTTCCCCTTAAAAAACACAATTAACGAATTGAGCAATTAGTTAGTAGTTGTATTATCGTTTCTTTGCCATACGAACCTAATTATACTTCTCACAATAGTTAATGAGACACAAAAAACATTGAGAGGCAATGCTCTCCCAAATTCAAATCTTAATATTAGTTAATAATAAAAATAAATAATATGCAGCACACCCCGCTTTCTTTCGCCTCAGCATGTTCAGAATTTTAATTCCTTCAAAATCTCCATTTTAACTGTTAATGTCTATATATCTTTAACAAATATCTCATCATTAATTCCTTATCTCTCAAAATTTAAACTTACCTGTCTTAGGGATTATTTGAAATGACCTAAATAAGTGTACATTTTGTCTTTTTACGAAAAGATGTGCAGAAAAATAAAGAGATGATGTAATGAAAAAAAGATAAAAAGATAAAAAAATGTGTACATTATAGAACTTAGCCTTAATTTGTCTTTATAACATGTCCATTCTCAATATGGATTCCTCTCACATCTCTCGTCTATTGCAACAAAGGGGGTGTACATTATAGAACTTTCCTAAGGTCTCTATAGGATTTACTGATCACAAGGACATGGTATATAAGAACTTTGCTCTCTCTGAAACAAGAATGCAAACATTTCGATCCATCAAATGAAACATGTGGAATATGGTCATTGACACAGTTGTTTCTGACATGTTGCTTACACAGTTCCTATGCCAAATCCAATTGAACTGGAATAGTATTGCAATGCTAACTATTTTGGATGGTTATATAGACGAAGTTAAGAGGTAATTTAAGAGAGAATACACTATGAGTTGAATATAAAAATTAAAGTATATAGAATTTTTTTTATTTTTAATATTATATATAAAATTTATGATTGTGACAATCATTGATTTAGTATTGTTTTCTTATTTATATCGTTTCTTAAATTGTATTATGAATCTGTTATATATATATATGACATCTACCTCATTCATGGGTAAACCAAATCATTCTTTTCATTCTTTTTGGTATCAAAACTATGTTAAGTACCTAGTAATTTTACTTCACCGGCGAGCAATAGCTTTGCTTTAGCCACCGGCTAGACCTCAACCTATCCCACTGTCATATTTTCTTTCGGTATCATTTCGTGGTGATCTCCTCCTCTATCCACTAGTTTATTCTTATTCCATATATCTCTATCATATATATATATTTTTTTACTCGCAATCCATTTTTGTGTTTCTCTTCCACTTTGTCTTTCCCTCGATTTCAACCTCAAATAGATTTCTAACTTCAAACCTATTTGAATTTGAGAGGAGTATTATACCTATATCATGATAAGCATGGTGATAAACTATGTGAACCACCTAAGCCGCCATTCTAGCGCACAACTGAAGTTGTCCCCTCTGGCGCACAACTCAAGCCGTCCCCTAACGCACTTTCTAGTAAGTCGCCCCTTGGCACACTCAGTCATCTATTGTCATCATCATTCAACACCATTTCATAAGTTATGTGTGTGTCACGCTTACTGGTTCAACATCTAGTTCTCTACATCTGTCCGACATGACCCGTTAAACTGTTCTGACATTAATTCCGGTTAGTTCCTACAACGGTCCAACATGACCTCTTAAATTGTTCCAACATTGATTCCGGTCAGTTCCTACAACGGTTTAGCATGACCTTAAACTATCCCGACGTTAGTTCTGACCAGTTTCTACAACAACCCGACACGATTATAAACTATCTCCTAGCGTTAGTTCCGACATCTGATTCCGACCAGGGTCTTGTTGGCAGCCGACCAGAGTATTTCCTGACTATAGATGCTTCGACAACTCTTCTAGGGCAATTCAGTCCCTTTTTTTTTTTTTTTTTTCTCTTCCTAGGGTGTGGTGCTGATGTATTAAGCACTTTTTGACCTTTTTTTTATTTAGTGAACTATCAGATTTGTTCGGTAGCATTTATTTGAACTAGCTGTTGAATTTTTTTCGACTTCTTTCAATCATCCATTGTCAAGTTGCGATTGTTGAATATCTTCACACCAGCTTAAGGGAGAGTGTCGAATATAGAAATTAGAGTGCATAGAATCTTTTTATTTTTAGTATAATGTATATAATCTATGATTGTGTCCATCACTGATTTAGTATTATTTTCTTATTTATATCGTTTCCTCAATTGTATCATGAATCTATTATATATACATAACATCTACCTCATTCATGAATAAACCAAATCATTCTTGTTATTCTTTTCTCATTGGGGTGAGTAGCCTTGCAAACCGGAGCGGCACATAAGCCCTAACCAATGTCCCATTCTCCATATATTCCTGCAAATCCAAAAGAACGTTGTTGAGAAAAAATAAAGACAAACTAAGGATTAGATAATTGATTGCACATTATTATATTATTAACTCCATCCAATTCTGGAAAGGTAAAATCAAAATGTCAAAGATGGATCAAAATTTTCTCACTTTGCTTCTCTCATATGCCTCATCACATTGTCTGGGTTGATACCACCAGTTTTTTTTCTTTTTTCTTTTTTTCTTTTAATAAAGAAAAAACATCAACCATCTACAAATCTTTCTTGAGCACAAAAACTTACCCTGCAAACCTTCCGAACCTGTCACCTATTATGCCCACCTTTTAAAGGTTGTTTGCTCAAGGTATGGGCTGATGTTCAATTAAAAAATTTAGAAAGTTAGGAGGAAGGGATCAAGTTCAAGTCTTATTGGCCGCATCATGAATATCACGATTAAAGGGGTAACTTGAATGATTAGTCCCCAGGATTCTATCCAGGAGAGGTCTAAGGTTTGACTCCCCTCTACTTTGCCCGATTCATAGGCTTAGGGGTGGCATCTGAAAACTAAGTTTACACACAGGGTGGATCCAAAAGACCCTGTCTAGGCCGCGTTCTCAATCATCAAATAATAATAATAATAAATAAATATAAAAATACTAGCATGAATGATGTAGCAAAATTGACTGGACAAGGACATTATAATGTTTAACATGCTATTCCATATTTACTTGGCTGCACAAGACACTACACCAACACGACAATTTTTGAAAATTGTACGACATACACATGGGGAGGACACTCGAAATATATAATTTTATTTATTTATTAAAAGTCATATGTGAATATTTCATTCCAAGAACAATATATATAATATAACACTAATTTCTAAATTTAAATGAGGGATTAATTGGGTATAAATCTACATTGTCTTTTTTCTTTTTTTTTTTTATCTTTACATCCTAAGCTATTTTGTTCAAACTTGAATATCCCCAAGTGTCCAAAACATGTCCAAGTCAAAGAAGTATCTGACACATGTCGAACACCAACATGCCCGCCTTCTTAGAAGTGTTCATGCTTCTTAGACTTTGTTTAAAGTTTAAATATTAAACCAGTAAGAGCTAGTATCTTGTTTAAGCTAATCGTACTACCTACTTGAGATACTCTAGTGTTAGATTATTTTTTGATTGAATCAGCCTGTAAAATTTGATATATGATACATCTCGCCAGATCTTCATTGTAATAGATTATAAGACCAGCTTAGAGGATTTATATAAACAAAGAACAATATACATCTTTGAATGTTTTCAAACATAAATTATTAGGATGTGAAATTTGTTTGCATGTTTTTTTCTTCTTCCTTTTTTTCCCCCTTTTCCAATGTCAATGCATCCCCCCTCACACCACTGCTGGGTGACCTAAGGAATATTTTTCTGTTCTCTCGTCAACTTTCTTATCAATCTTCCCGCTCACCCTTTTACCTTCTTAATTAAACTATCATATCACCAATAAAACTATTAGTTCCTCCATAGAAATTGGAGGAATGAAAAAGGGATCCAAAAATAATGACATATTGATTCATGGTGCCCAATAACAATACTTACTGTTTTCTCGACCATTCCAACCTGATGTATCGTACTGAGAAATTCCCCTTTGTTGAATGGAATCAAAGCTTCCACCCATACCATAGAATCCTGGAGAAAGAAAAAATAGTATTGGAAAAAAGGAAAAAGGAAAAAAAACCTTACAAAAACAAGAAATGTTAAATACTGGGTGACATCATGCTTAACATAAAAAAACAAACAGAAACAACTATTCTGAAGGACACTGAAAAAATTGACATCAACTACCTTAAGTTTTTCCTGAACTGCACTGCAGAATTCATCTAATCCATCACCATTTATGGCAGAGATGCATACTGTGTCTTCTCTTTTCCCTGCTTCCAATTTGATTTTCAGAGGATCACTGGCTTTATCAACCTGTTGTAAATAAATGCATAAGTAATCTTGTGGCTTCCCTATAACACAATAGATGCTATGGCCATAATCAAGCTCTTGTCACTAACAAAACAATGAATGGTCAACATCAGCAAGAAGCTTCACATTCCAGATAAGCATCTCAGACTTGAAAAGAGATCAGTTTTTAGAAAACTAGTCGGAGTAACAAAGGCAAAACACCCTTCCCAAGGCTGGACAAAACGGTTTAAGGGATTGTTTGGGATGATCTAAATAAGTGCACTTTTTGTTTTTTTACGAAAAGATGTGTAAAAAAGTAGAGAGGTGATGTGATGGAAAAAAGATAAAAAGATGGATTATTTAGGGGATGCCAAACCACCCCTAAGTCTACTGTGCCACTCAATAAATGCTTCAACCGCCAACCTATCACTTAATTTAAATTTGATAAATGAAATAAAGACACACACACACAAAGGGTTTAGGGACAGAAATCTTTAGTTTGACAATCATGAATATGTAGATAAAACTCTCATTTTGCATCTCCACTTTCAAGTATGTGAAGGATGCCGTTCACAAACTTGGCCAGTTTATCTTTGATTCTTTCCTCTCTCTCTTTTTTAGAGTGAGAGAGAGAGAAAGAAACGGACCAATGAGTGAATAAAAGGTCCACACAATTATTCACTCAATAGGTCCACACAATTATTCACTCAATATCATTCAATAAATTGAAAGAGAAAACAACAGGTCAAGAGACAGCTCGTGGGAACTCTGCAATCCATTGATTTAGTCAAAAGGCACATTTATGCTTACACATGAGAGAGAGAGAGAGAGAGAGAGAGAGAGAGAGAGAGAGAGACATCAAGTGTTGCAGTAAACTACTTTCATAACCAAATGAACAAATATATCACCTTGTTCCACACCATCAACTTTGGAATTGATGCTACATCCAGTTCACTAAGAACCTTGTCCACAGCATCTATCTGTTGCTCTGCCAGTGGATGGCTGAACTTGATAACAATATGTTATGAGAAAATAGTGTTTGTCAAGCAAAGATAAATCCTCTTCACTAATTCACCAAGTTATACCTAATATCCACCACATGCACCAGAAGGGATGACTCAGAAATTTCCTCCAAGGTTGCCCTAAAGGCAGCAACCTGCAGCAAGAAGCACTGATTAGGGAAGAACAAAGAAAAATGACATTATTTCTTGAGCTTCAAGTAAGTTTACATTTACTGGAACCTTTTCTTGAATAGTTAGTTTGAGACAAAAAGGAAAGGAAAGATACAAGGAGTTCTTGTGATATAAATTATTAGTAGCAATGATTGTCACATATGCAACTTGAAGATGTAACAGAGCTTACCAGTGTAGTTGGTAACTTTTGAATAAATCCAACAGTATCTGTAAGAAGAAACTCCTTCCCATTCTTCATCTGGATAGAGCCAACAGAACATATATGTGAGTTATACCCATAAAAAGGACGCTTTAAATCATAAGATATAGAGGGTACAATGTTGTCCAACAGAGCTAAAGATGGTGTTGCACGTAAATGAAATGGCTTTCAAAAAATGGAACCATTTTCCACATGACATTGATTAGTATATTGAGTAACTGCTCTTATATAATCATCAAGGGGGCAAGAAAAATAAAAATGTGTATATATACTTGTCATACAATCAACTCTTTTCAAGTACACCTTACTAACCTGTACCCTTCTAGTAGTCGGATCAAGTGTTGCAAACAGGCGATCTTCAGCGAGAACATTAGCCCCAGTCAATCGATTTAAAAGCGTACTCTTTCCAGCATTTGTATACCCAACCTAAAAGCATAGAACATTTCATATCTGTAAATGTTACCAACCAGTATCGAACAAATCCCCCTGCCCCCCAAACCGAGAGAGAGAGAGAGAGAGAGTAGGAGGAGGAGGAGGAGGAGGAGGAGGGTATGGATCTACTCTATTCCAAGTTCATGAATTTCCCTACCAACGATACGACTGGGACAGGCACAGAAACACGCCGGTTCCGGTACTGCTTTCGATGTTTACGAACAGACTCCAGCTCTTTTTTAAGAACACCAATCTGTCAATGCAACAAAGGGAAAGTCAAATTTTAAAGATAATGAAAACATAGCTGCATACACTCCAGAAAGACGTGCATGACAAAATCTGCAACAATGTCCTTAAACTGTAAAACCTCGGATAATATAGATTTTGGGTGACAAAGGGAAAGTCAAATTTTAAAGATAATGAAAACATAGCTGCATACACTCCAGAAAGACGTGCATGACAAAATCTGCAACAATGTCCTTAAACTGTAAAACCTCGGATAATATAGATTTTGGGTGACAAAGGGAAAGTCAAATTTTAAAGATAATGAAAACATAGCTGCATACGCTCCAGAAAGATGTGCACGACAAAATCTGCAACAATTTCCTTAAACTGTAAAACCTCTGATAATATAGATTTTGGGTGCACTAAGATACTATGCTCAATATTTGCAACCCAAAATATTGTCATAAAATTTATATAAACACTTGATCCCCCCCACACAATATTAAGGTGGCATGGAGAGGACTTCCAACTCTAGCTAAAGAATAATTATCACGGTTAAAATATTTACCAATAATTCACAATTGATTATATCCTCATTTTGAACAGAGATTTACCTCTAGTTGAAATACAAGGAGAAGAAATGAATACTTACATTAGCAAGCAAAAGTATAGTTATTAGAATATTTTCAAAAGTTAAAAAACGAAAAGAAAAGTTGGTCCTCTAAGTTTGACCATCTCCCAAGAGTCAAGCGAAAGTCCAGCAGGAGATGTACATGACAGCATGGGGTCCCTTTAAATGTAAAGTTTCCTCTTAGAAAGTATGCACCTCATAACTACCAAACAGCATTGAAATGAGTTTTTGAAAGGCATGTTAGAAATCAATGAAACAAGATAACAGAATACAGCTCACATATGTTAAGGAAGAACATAAATATTAAAATGTCCACACAACATGAATCATTTTAGACACTGTAAATTATACAAAAACCTACCACACAATCAACAAATATATAGATTGCTGGCAGCAGAAGAAAACTGCTTACTTGCGTACGTAAAATACGCTTGTCCACCTCAATTTGTTTCTCACCCATTCCTTTCACCCTGCCTCCAGCTTGACGCTCAAGGTGACTCCACATTTTTGTAAGACGAGGTAACTGATATTCCATTTGTGCTAATGCAACCTAAGAAAACTTCAGTCTTGTTAGTGTAAATGGACAACATAAATTCAGAAAACTATCTCACAGAAAAATGATAAATTTGCCTGTAAAGCTGCTTCATGTGTTGCTGCCCTCTGGTTGAATATATCCAGGATGAGAGCAGTGCGGTCACAAACTCTAACATCTCCTCCAAAAGCCTTTTCTAAATTACGTAATTGCCTGCAAATTAGCATTATAAACATCCCTTTGTAGCCGATAAAATCAAGACAAGAACAAAAACTGAGAACATTCATACGATGCAAAAGGTAGTACAAACTGAGAAAACAAGAGAAACTTGTATATGGTGTGTGGGTTGTGTCCAACAAATATGATGATACAAAAATCAGTAAGGATGACAGATTCTATTCCAACTACAGAAGCCAGAAACATAAGAAAAAAAGGAGCATAAGACAGGCCATGGCAACAAGAAAATAACTAATCGCCTGTAATTTAATAGAGAGTGCCACTTGATAGGACCATAGGAAGAAAATTAGCAATCACCAAGTAGCTGGGGGCATAAGGTCTTATTGAGTGGAAACAAGCATAACCTTCCACCATAAAAGGCTTTCTAGGCCAGAAGTACTCAAATGCCATCACGACAGCCCTTCCCCTCTTTGGAAAAAGGGAGGGCAAAAAAGGGGGAAAATAAATAAATAAAAAGCTGTAGGAACCTACTAACCAACTTATTTCTCACAGTCAGAGACCCAAGAAGAGTTGAATGAACCAATAATTCAGTATATGCATCAAGCTTTGGTCAAACTCAAACTACTGAGATATCAAATACATTAAGTTGTTCTCAGATAAAGAAATTTTCCATTGATCTTAAATCTCAAAAGCTTGATCAGCAGGCTAGAATATTTAGGGTGCATAACCCATAGGAATCAAATTCCACTTGAAGCATATTCACGAATGAAAAGCAAAAAATAAAGAGAACGAAAGAAAGAAATTCAGTCATTAACAACTAACCCTGCTGACAGCTCATCGTCAAATATTACTGTCTCAACACCAAATGCATGAATGGCACTCTTGATTTCTGCCACCTTGCCAGATCCAATATACGTCCTCGAATTTGGAGTAGCAAGTCTGTACCATATGAAAACGAGTAGTCAATATAATTAAATTAACAATGAGAGATGTGACTCAGGCCAGAATGAAAAATACTACGCAATTACAACAATCTCAATCTAGAAACCTGCATGGGTCTCCAACTTACCATTTCTTTTTACGTTGTAACTAGTAATTTCAAAGATATAAGGATGCGGCCCAGGTTCAACTATATAGCATACGGATCCAAGCAGCTAAGTTAATAAAATAACATTTATTTATGTAATCAGTAACTTATCCATTTCTTTGGAGCTGAAGTGTACCCCAAGTACCAAGTATCAAGTATCAACTAATGAAAAATAGGCTACCACGGGTAATGCTTAAGCATGATAGTGTTCAAATCATTTATCAAAACCAATATATATAGGGAAAAAAAAGGGACCCATACTTGTCACAGATCAAACTTCAGTGGGAAAATATGGAGAATATAATTTATCACACTGAGCAGGATTAGACATCAGCAGCAATGAATTTAAGATATATCTCAATATAATACTCACTTCTGATGGGTAGAACCTATAACCATCAGTCCAGCAGTATCAGCCAACTGGGCCAGTTCCCTGAGTGACTCTTGTACGCCAAAGGAATCCTCCGTATCACCTTTGCGCTCAACACTCACAAGGTAGGCTTTCTCTTCAAAAACCTGATAATTAACCCAACCCATGTAATTTTTTTACCAGCAAACCATTATTTTGAACTGTTACTAAAATAGGAATCACAAATGTTGAAAATTAAGCTGTGAAATTTTGGGTTAAGGCTACAGGATCATATCAATTATAAAATTTTTTCTTTATTTTCTTTTTCTTTTCATAAATAACCAATTCAGCAGAACATAAATTATTCTAAACTAAAGATTTCCTATTATGTTTCCCATCGTTGGTGCTAAACAGAATTCAAAAACTCAAATGCTAAAAAGGAGAGCATAATTAGGGTCACTTTCTCGGGTACCAAACAGAAAAAGGAGAAAAGACAAACCTCCCTTCCGTTTCGGAGCTTGAATCTACTGTCATAGCCGTCCTCCTCCATATCTTCCCTCTTCTTCGAATACCTTCTCGTTGAAGCCTTGGGAAAATCTGGGGTAGTTCCTTGTTCCACCACAGTCTCTGCAACTCCTCCATTGATCGAAATCGCTGCTTCGATCAATGGAGTTCGCAGTGAAACGGTGTCGTCCGGAGAGATAACACCGACCCCTTCGTCTCGAGAATTCTTGAGTATGAGATGTTGTTTGAGATGAATGGATCGAATGGAAGTAGGGTTTGGAGGCCATCGAGAATCTGATTCGGGGATTAGAGGAAAGGGACGAATCGCCCAAGAGAACAAGCATGCGCTCATGATAATATATACCTCCTCCGTCTGGATGGACTGGATCTGGAGATACAGATAGTATGCGGATTTTATTTTGATATTTTCATTTCTTTAGTATTGTATTTTCTTTTCATATATCTATTCAAAATTAATCAAAAATATTAGAGATCTAAATAAATTAGGGAAATTTATCAATAAATCCCATTTCACAAATTATTAAACCAATTAGTCCCAACTTTATTCTTTTGTTCGGATAAGTCCTATCAGTGGGGAAGTTTATTTCTTGTTAATCCTATTTTTCATATTTAGTGTAACTGTGTGGACGATTTTACCCATTATTGTTTTGTTTCCATATACTGTTGGTGCACCCTCACTTCACCATCACTTCACCATCTCCCACATTATAACTCTTCCTCCTTTCTGTCTGCAATCATCAACACTGAACATCATCGCCAAACTCTCTCTCTCTCCTCCTTTTCCTCTTCATCTTCTTAGGAGTCCCTCTCCTCTGTCCACCGCATCTCCTCTAACGACGGCACTCCTCAGTTCACTGCCTCCTCCTCACCTACTTCAAGATCCACCACCAGAACCATTGCCCCTCTCTCTCTCAGATCGTGAAACCCTAGGCGGCGATCCATCCATCGCACTATTAGGTCCTACTCCGTAACCGCCTCTGTTACTCCTCCTCCCTTGCCGTTGTCGGAGACGAGGATTGGCGATGGAGGAGATGAATCGAGATCGGAACACGAGGTTGTGATAGATTTACGCGCGGATTTGAAGGGAATTTTGAGATTGAATGCTTGTGTGTAGGGTTTTCAATAAGATTGCTTCGTAATGGTGGAGTTTGAGGATGAAGAAATGAAGAAATTGAGGGATACCGTTAATTTGTTTTTGGAGATTTTGTGGAATTTGCGGATTTCTGAATATCGAGAAGCGTGTAATCGAGTGTATATAGGTCTGTGTGTATGTATATATATATATATATATCTATTGTGTGTGTGTGTCTGCCCCTCGTAATGTTTGTGTGTATCTGTGTGTGTGTGTGTGTATGAATCTATGTGTGTGAATCTGTGTGTGTGTGTGTATCTCTGTGTGTGTGTGTGTATGTATCTGTGTATGTGAATCTGTGTGTGTGTGTATCTCTGTGTGTGTGTGTGTATGTATCTGTGTGTGTGTGTATCTGTGTGTGTGTATCTGTGTATTTGTGAGCAACGGTTAGATGAGGGTAATTACGTCCCTCACAATTAAATGGGACTAAACAGTTTACTAGAATAAAAATGGGACCAATTGGTTCATAAGTTTACATTTTGGGATTTATTGGTAAATCTCCCAATAAATTATTATTATTATTAAATATTATACACAATAAATTTAGGAAAAACTATCAATAAATCTCATAAGTTGATCTTATGATTCATTTGGTCTCAAGTTTTATTTTAATGTTCCATTTGGTCCCGTCTTGCGTGAAAGGACATATTTGCCACAGTATTTAATGTTTCCGTTGTTAGTGGATGCAAATGGTTGTGCTGTTGGCGCGTGGGGCAACGCGAGGTGTAAGGTGTGGGAAGTTGATTGAGTTGTGCCATGTGACACATAATAGCGTGTCACAAAATAGCAAAGCGTACTAAGGGGTTTTATAATGGTAGTAGAGATTTTGGTAGTGCCACATGTCACACATTCGGGTTGCCCACATAATCGCAATATAACCCGTTTTACACATCCACATGCCCACATGTATAAAATGCTAACCCGATTCGTATTTCCCACAATCATGAAACCCTAATATATTGATTTCGTGTATTTGTAGATTTCGATTGACAGTATATCCCGTTGTGTGATTCGGGAGAGGGAGGAGCGATATTGAAGATTGATTGCAGTGTTACGTTGATTTACGATTTGTGTGACATTGTAGGGCGTTCAACGTTTCGGAACCGTAGTCTCACTCTGCTGTGTTCGTTGGTTTGTCAGACGTCTGCAATGGCCGAAAAGGGTATGTCACCTAACATTGTTTTTGAAATCCTTGTGTGGTAATGTCTTACTTTGGTATTTGGTGTTTTCGTTACGATTATCGGTGTGGTGGGTCGTTTTTATGTTCAGTCGTGGAGTTTTTGGGGTGTGTGTTTTGTTTTAGGGGTATTTGCGATATGGATGTCGTGTTGGGGTGTGTGGGTTTTGGGCGTGTGGTCTTGGGTGTGTGGTGGGACAGTTTGGTTGTGGGTTTTGTTCTTATGCGTAGTGTGTTTGCTTTGGGATAGTGTGTGGTGTACGTTGGCTTTGAAGGGGGTCAGTTTGTGGGTTGTTTTTGTGATGATGTGTGTTTTTGGATGGTTGTGTGGCTGATAGTTGTGGTCAATGTAATAGTATATATTGTAGAACAATAGTTGAGACCACAGGAAAAGGTATACTTTTTTAATGATTTGTCCTACATATGTAAGGGTGGGGTCTCCAATTTTTTTTGGTGCTGCAGAGAGTAAATGGGATATGTTGTGGTTCTAGTACGCAGGTGTGGATTGTGTGACTTTGTAGTTTTTATTTGTGGTTTTGGAGTTAGGTTTGGGTAGGTGGTTGGTTTTGTGTTGTTGTTACTGTGTGTCTAAGTTGGTATGGGGGGTTTTGTTTTGTGTCGGGGTTGTATGAGGTGTGGTGGTTGTTGTGTGGATGTGGGTTTGTGTGTTGGGTTAACTGGACAGTGTTTGAATGTGTTACATGGGGTGTGGTAAGTTGTGTTTTTGTTGGTATTGTTGTTAGGTGTTGGATTTGGTTGTGTGAGTTGGTATGTTGTTGAGTCTGAATGGTTCGTGTTTCGCAGGTCACATAAAATGGAGGGTGTTATGTTTTTTTGTGTGTTTATTTTTTGTCATGACTTTTGTGTGTGGTTGTGTGGCATGTATGTGATATGAGTGTCATGCTAAATGTGTCTGTGGTTTTGTCTTGCAAATAGTGATAGGGTAAGAAGTCTGTGGACACGTTCATGTGAACGTAAACGTGTTGAGGGGTCAACTGGTTCAAATGCGAACAACCTTGGAGTGAAAATGCAGGGACGAATTCTATTCAAGCAAGCTAAAATAAGAAAGGGTGAAGATGCGCGGTCTGTGGGTAAGATTGTAATGGGGGGCCAGCCTAAACACCACACGAGGATGAACTTCCGTTCAAACATTGCAGGGATAGTGAAGCTTGTGAGTTTGGCAAACCTGCAGGAGGGACACTTGAATCAGTTGAAAAGAACACCATTCTGGGTTATGATAGAGGCGATACACGTCAACAAGTTGAACCATAACGAATTCAGAAAGTGTGATGAGTTAATATGTAAAATTATAAGGGCATACAATGAGCGGGATAATGCATTTAGCATTGGAGGTTCAATGGTGAAACTTGGTAGCAGTGACATTAGGTTAATCTTCGGATTACAATATGGGAAGAGGCGCATGGACTTGTCACCTGGACAAAGACCAGCATCGGACTTCATTCAATGTAGGTGTTCTGAAACTTCACGCATAACATCAAAACTAGTGAAGACGTTATTTTTAGAGGCTGTTAGTGGTCATACCAAACAAGATGAGGAAGACACTGCGAAGCTATTAGAGCTGTACATTTGTAGGAAGCTTTTTTTTGCCAACTTTGGGAGACAATAAGTTGGACATTGGTTCGGTACTTGAACAATCTGAATACCATACGGATGTATGACTGGACAGGCGCAATATTGGCAACGTTGATGGGGTCAGTGAAGGATTTTCACAAAACGCTGGGGAAGGTGACTAGCTGCGTGGTTGCGTTGTTGGTAAGTATGTGACGGAATTCATTGTTGTTATTGTCTGGTATGCATGGTTGGGTTTATTTGCAAGTTTAATTTGATTATTGAATTTTGTGATGTGTGTGTCGCAGTATTGGTTATGTGAACATTTTACAATAGTGGAGCCTGAAACCGAAAACATGTTTCCAAGGTTCCTTAAGTGGGGCATTGGAACACTGCTGACTAAAGCACAAGGGGTAGAATTTGCTGGTTCTGTCACGTTTCAGGTATGCATGGCATTGGTTCTCAATCTGGTTGTTGTGGAAGTTTGTCAGTTGTAGTCTGATAATGACCTTTGTAATTTGAAAATGTCATTGTGTTTGTGATGTGAACAGGTGAAGACTGATCATTTGAGATCTCTTGAGCATGAACGAGAAATAATGGGATTAGATGTCGAAGCGGTTGACAGATATGTGGCCGACATTGTTGACATTAGCGCAAACAATGTTGGTGGTGATGATGATTTTGTTGACGGAGTTAATGTAATGAAAGAGACAGTTGATGTTGGAATGCGGGGTGAGAGTGTTGAGGCACGTGGGAACAACAAAATTGGCAAGAGTCATGTGGGTAATGTGCGTGATGATTTAGTGGGTGTGTTCGGCGCTGGGATGGATGTACAGCGTGAATCGATTAGTGCATATGAAAATTACAGGCAGGTAGATTCTAAACTAGAAGAAGCGTTAACTGCAATCACAACACTTCAGCTGCAGAACAAAAACAAGGACAATATGACATCACTCCTTCAAGAAGAGATTACTAAGTTGAAGAGTAAGAGCGACTTGCAGGCTGTGAACATAGTTGGCGGTTTTGAGAGTGTTTTGAAGATGAAAGATGAGGAGCTTGAAAAGTTGAGGAAGGAGAATGGGGAAATGCAGAAAAAAATTTCATTATTGGAAGACCAACTGGAGGACCGTGACGTACATGTTGTCACGCAAGCATTCCGTGACGCTGGAAATAAGCAAGTTGCTGGTGGATGTGGCACGGGATGCAGTGGGTATGGTGGGTCTTTTTTGTGCGATGTGTCACCGTTACGTGCAGTCAATGATTGTGCATGGAAGGCAGGCAATGAATCGAATGAGGTGGAGCTGCATGATCCAATGGATGTCCAGCAGTGTGATGCGGAAGTAGAAGTGTTGCCATATGTGGGTGAAGGAGTACCGTGGTTAGGCGTGCAAAATTCGTTGGTACGTAACATTAAAGGCAAAGTGAGGAAGGAGCGGAAGTTGGCAGACTATGAGTACCTGTTATTGGGGGTGCGTGATAGAATGATGGGATCAGAAAGTGATAATGTTGGAGGAGAG